AATGTGTAACCCGAAACATCAATACCGAGAGCACTTCACTTTTACAATGCCGTTCAAGTTGTCTTGTTATAAAGTGATTTCGATGTTACAATACGAGCACGTGTTCAATATGACGATAGATATTCCACTTTGTGATATGAAAGTCGCCAATAATTTTTGATAAAAGTGTTCCCGATCTGATTTGATTGTAATTTCCAGGTCTTTGTATTTTAATTTTATTCAAATTATCTGAATAGTAAACAAAACACATACGTTAATTACTTGCTCTTTGATCGGATACAAAAGTAACATTTTTTCACATAATTAACTTACAAAAAAGTCGCTGATAGGTTTCAATAAAAATATTGTCGGCTTATTTGATTTTAATTTCCAAGTTTTATTGCATTTTTATTTGATTAATTTTTTAATTTAGTTTTTTTATTCTAAATTATTAGAATAGTAAGTGAAAAAACTTCACATATGATTACAATTAATTGCTCTTTGATCAGATACCGAAAAGCAAACGTTTTTCCATGATTAGCGATATTTGTTACAGTTTGCGCGTGTCATTTAAAAGTATTTTTACGTAAGGAAGCTCGGAAAAAGCTGAATGATGCAACCGTGCGTCAACTTTTTTCGGGCTCTGCGGAAAGATAGAGAAGGCGTATGTACGCGTCATAGTACGTCTTCTCTATTTTTCCGCAGAGCCCGAAAACGTATTGGTCTTGGAGAGATACGCCGCGCTCTTGTTTTACCGCGAACAAGAGTTCGATAAGACAGACGGCACACACACACACATACACTCGGTCTCGAGAACGACGACGGGGGGAAAAACTCTCGATAACAATACGCCATGTCGATGACTCGGTTACGAATTATGGATCCTAAAAGTGCGATGCTGTACTTGGCGTTTCTCCAGACCGGCTTCCATCACACTCGCTAAATTTTTTAGTCCTTCTTTTGCGCGGCCGCCGTGGTTCACGCAACGCCTCGCGAAAATCAATATTCTCGAGATAAAGTATGAGCGTGATTCCGCAGCGCCACGTGCCCCCGTCATACACGTCCGTAGACAGTAAATTCCACAGTAGCGCTCACTCATCGGTGAGAGAAACAAGAGAAAAATATCTGTTTGCTTGTTAGCGACGACGGATGAAAATAATTCACCAAGTCGCTCGCTAAGAAAAATTCAACAATATTCTCTCGTTCGCGGGGTAAGAAAGGAAGAAGATAATATTTCGAACGTTATGATTTTTCCGGGAAACGAAGTTGTGTAGATTTTTTAGCTTGAGAAACACTGTTTCCGCGGAATGCGCGCCGACTTGGCAAAACGAAAAATTCTCCTGCACTCAAACTAGTTTACGACCTCCATTGCCGATATTGCGGCAAGATTGTGCCAAAGGTGGCACGAAATGTTAACCAAAGCGGATATTGAAAACGCGACGTTTTCAAGATCAATTCCACGTAATAACATTTACGTTCGCGCCTAAAAATATAAAAGATATCTTATACAGTATTTCCGCGAATTACTTAAATGATTATCATCTATCTCAGACGGCAATTAAAATTTTTTATTAAAATACCAAAGTCTTATGACGATTTCGACAAAATTAGTTTTGTTATTACGGTGAAACGAAAAGGGTGAACTTTCTTGTTTACATCCTCGAGCTTGTGAAATTTCACTAACGAACGTTAGTGTGACTAACAAATTTCAACAATAAAAAAAAAAAAAAAAAAAAAAAACGCGATATTGCTTTATTGCAATCTAAAAGAGTAAATGTAACGAGACGCTCCGAGTCGGTTAATTGGCGATTTGATTTTCTGAAGGAGCGCAATATAAGGGAAGACTTGCGAGATATAGTGAGTCTTCGCGACGTTGGTTTCAAAGAGGAGAAAAGACCTTTCCGGAGATCACGCTCACGCGGAAGTAAAAGAGCGCGCGCGTTCTATATTGCAGGAGGGGAACACTTTGCACGTAATACCATTATCTCGGGTTCAAACTGCATTCAGACGCAGCGGAACGACGAATGCGAACATAGAGGAGGCGATAATCGACCGAAAGACCGTGGTTACTTTTTGATTGCCGTCGAGAGCGCGCGCGCGCGTGCGCCAGATAACAATAACAATGCAATCGTAAGATAGCCGATAGCTAATTAGAATCGGGAGTTCTATAGCGAGCTCATTTTAATAATAACGAACGGAATAGCGAACACCGGATGCTAATTGAAAAGCGAGTCGCGGATTCGTGAGAAATTGAACGCGCGCGGTTGTTTTATAAATGAACGATGAACTTTATCCGACAGGAAGAGAAGATGTACACACAGAAAAAGCACGAATACATTTAATAGACCGCGCTGTGGGAGAGGAAGTCTTTTATTATTCACGGTATTGTATACAAACGTTGCTTACGCAGTCGATGAACGAGTTTTAACGAGCGAGTCTTTAATTACGGCTTAGAAAAAGAATGTATAAATTAACTTGACAATTTTTTACTATACGTATTCTGTGTCTTTGGCAAATTTGATTATTCCGTTTTCGAACGAACGAGAGGCAGTGACGAGAATATCGCGAACGCATACCGGGATTGTATCATAAATTGTGCGCGTTCGGTATCTCAATTATTTATTCTTGCTTGATTGAACGATTTTATTTGAAGATAAACCGCGGGAATTCAACATGACGTCGCGTAGAGAAGAACGTTTATTGGAAAATCGAATGGTATATTCTTTCGGAGCGGTAGAAGCAGCTCTCTCGGTCGCGCAACTCCGCGCGTCCGCATTAATGGCAATTTCGTATCGAGAAATCGCGTGTTCTCGCTGTGTTGCGCGGAGATATATATTAGAAAATGTTACAAGCGCGACTAGAAAGAAATACCATAGATCGCGATGTTTATTGTGCTCTATTACATTGCTGCTCTTCGCGCGACGACGTGTGAGAGCCGGTTCTCGCTTTTGTACATACGTATGCACGTGTCAGAATAATTCCGACAATTTTCATGGGGCGGTTTGCTTTCCCGTTTTATTTCGTTCTCCGTTTTGTGTGTGTTTTGTCAAACGTTCCTTGTGTCATTTCACGCGATCGTTTTAACGTCGTGTTTTTCCGTAGCCTCGAAAACTGTCCGTGACTCGCGCGTCTTTTCAAAACGAACGTGCAAACAAACAGACATCTATTTTGATTGTTTTTGTATCAACTAAAATCTTACCGAAATAATTGTTGTTTTCCCTCCCGTGCGTCTTTTTTCTCGCTTGACAAAGGTCGCGCGCGACCTTTAGCACATCGTCTGTACCTCCCCAGAGAAGTGCCAGATCGCGACCCGAAATCCCTCCCGTCACAATGACACTCGAGTATACAAAAAGCAGTTATAATAGAGGCGGAGAGGGTGGGAAATTTTGGGCCACGATCTGACGCTACTTGCCGCGAGCGAGAGTTGAGGGCGAGACGTACGGAGTGAGACAACTTGTGGTGAGAGTTTTGGCTTGGGGTGTACAATTTGTGCGAACGGCGCGCGTCGGTCCGATAATTCAGAGAGTTGTGGTTGTGAAGGCGGGGCGCGTGTTTTTCACAACAAAAAGTTTGAAACGTGTTGTGAGAAATGCGAGATATTTTTTTATTTAATCGACGCCAGAGGCATTAAAAGTTACGTGGAGTTTAATTTGTGGTAATTATTGCAATTTAATACACATATTAATTATTTTAATTAAATTATATACGCGAGTGTTGAGTAATCAAATGTGCAAAAGCTGATAATAAATAAAAAAAAAAAAATCTCAGTCTCGACACTCTGTTAAAATACCGTTCGCGCTTTGTATCGCGATCCGCGCGATCTTTCTGCGAAGATTTCTATCGCGTTGTATTTTCCGGCGACGAGAGATTCTCGTCGACGGAGCCGGCGCATTTCATCGAACGCATAATAAATGGAAAAGGCCGCGTTCTTTAACGCGACAGTGAGCTAAACGTCGAACCGTAAATCGTTTCCGTACTCTATATAGGAAAAGCGTATCCTGCGCCGTCAAAAGGCTCTCGCTCATAAATCACGCCGTGCACACTTGTGAGCTGAAATCGGGGTGAGGAGGAAGGAAAAATCGCCCGATTCTCCGTTGTGCGTTTTCCGATATCGACCGCGTAAAAAATAAAAAAAAAACAGCACTCGGAAGGTGCGTGCATTCGTTGAAATTGATGACGCGTCTTCTCATCAATTAAAACGATTCTGGAAAATTCGCGTTTATTATATAATCGCATTAATAATATACAATAAATATTGAGTTATTTTTTTCACAGATACACTATATATAATTTTTTAAATAAAACTAAAAAGAAAATCTCTAGCAAAAAAGTTTTTTATTTCTCAAATTTACGAATAACCGTTTTGCGAGCGCGATAATTTTTGGCCAGAATCGCGATTGTTCGCGGTCAAGTTTAAATGGAGTTACGTCCTGCGACGCCTTGACTCGATAACGTCCGACCGGCCAGACCGATCAAATTTAATGTTGATAAAGAAGATTTATAAATATGGAATCGGCGCGTTGGTTTTTATTTTTCCGGAAATACGAAATCCAATTCTCGATAAGACCGGCTTACGTAGAAACTGCCCGTTCTCCCGCTTTCCCTTCTCGGGGCTATTTCTCATATCGCGATCGCCCGTACCGCCGCCGTATCTCTCGCTGGCGCAGCTAGAGCAAGACCATCATTCCGGAGCGAGCGACGATGGCTGATTTTTTTTTTTTTTTTTTTTTTTCCCGTCCTCCCCCTCGAGGATGCGCGGAATTTCGAGCGATTTGCATATTTGACGCGTGCCGGCTTCGTCATGAAATTATGAGACTGTGCAAAAATTACGTTCAAAGTTGCGAAATATAATTTAGTTTTCAATCTAATTTTGCGAAACTCGACGAGAATGTGATCTAATACACGATATTAGGATTAGCTGAGCACAAAATTAAATTATCTCGTTGAAATTAGAAAATAATAAGCGCGTTTGTGTACTAGACGTTTATGTTAATCCCTCGTTCGATTTCGATTTTGCGCAGGATCTAATGACGAAGAACAAGCAGCGATATCGATGGCGTTTGCTTGCGGGCTGCGTCGTCGTCATAATCGTCCTGGCTCTGGTGATCACGGCGGCGATTCTGCTGGATTCGGCCGGCAACAGAACGCGAACCGCACGCGGCATCACTCTGAAGGAATGGCTCTCCGGCTCGTTGTCCTCCAAGAGCTTCAACGGAACGTGGATCAACGGTAAGTTGTTGCAGCGTCTTTGTTTCTCCAGGCGTTTTTAGTTTTTGCGAAATTCCGCGAGAAAAACTCGCTCTCGCGCGCGTTTCATCATCCGCTCTTCCCACTTGGGAAATGAGATTTTTTTCAACGCTGTCTCACTAATTAATTCGAGTATTCAAAGCACATTTCACGAATGCGTTTTCGGAGTGTGACGGACACGTCGGATGTAGTACAAGGAAAATTCAATTTTAATGGACGTCGCGCTCTTTCTTCATTTCCTGCATGAAATGAAGTACACATCGAAAAATGTAGATTAAACGTCAGGGTATGAGAAGCGAAATTGCAGACACACCGGGAACGTATAGAAATGAGAGAGAAACGCGTTCATGCGCGTTATGTGTACTTTTACTTTTTTCAAATGTGTGTTTCCAAAATTTCTGTTAATACTTTACAAAAGGTTCAAATACACAGTCGTTTGTTTTTAATCAGCGGTGATAACAAATTTCGCGGCAGACGCGTGCGCGGAAACGCACGGGAGAAACCAGTGAAATTAAACAAAAGTTTTCGGTCGTAAAACAGATTCGCCCGATACGTACCTACTCTCGTTATTGTGTTTGCGTTTCGCGTCGCGCGCAAAAGTTTTCCTCGACCGCGTCGCTTAATGCGCGCGATTTTCGCCGTGCAATAGAATTACGATGTATCATAAATCTCGCGCGAGAGACAAAAGTCGTCCGGGTCTTTTTCCCCGTGATCCCCCGTCAAATTATATCGCGGAACGTATGTCAGTCCGTCGGTTTTTCTCCCTCTCGCGATCTCCGCTTTCCCGTGCATTTCTGCTGCGCTCGCGAACCGTATTATATACAACATCAATGGAGGATAATATACGATTCGTGTGCGCGACCGCACAAAAGCGCGTACATACGAACACACGCGCACACATATACACGCATATATTTATATCGTCGTTTCGCGCGGGTGAATGGCGCGGCGTCGCACCGCGATCGTTGAGGTATGAAGTTCAAACTAATTTTATATGTGAGGTGTTGGCGCGTTGGCTATATTCTACTTCGTTCGCGGATCCATTTGTCTTTGTTACGCTACGACCGCCGGTGCTGCACCACTGTCGGCCTATAAATCCTTTCGTCAGGCCGTGAAACAAAAGACAGGTTTTAATGGATTTACGCGCGCCCGTCCAGTATCTTCCCGCTATCGCTTAATTCTTTTTGCTCGAAAACATCACGCGAGGTTGAGCTGCGTAAACGCAATTCCCCTCCCCTTCGATGGACGCAGCTCAAACAAATAATACCACACACAACGTCCGAAAATCCTTTATGAGAATTTTCCGGCGCGGATATATCGAAATTAAACGTACGAGATTGTCGCGCGGTTTTTTACTCAAATTCGCGTGAAAATGGGAATTATCGGGGGGGATGCGATTCCTGAAACTATTCGTTTACATAGGAAAAAATTTTGGTTGGTAGTTTTGCAAAGAGATTTGGTTACTGTGACTCGTAAGAAAAATTTGCTATAAGCCTATTAAAATTTTTCGCTTAACTAACAAAATATTTTGTCGGAAAATCTAAAAATTCAATAGGTTTATAGGAAATTTTTTCTGATCATATAAAAGACCTGTTTTTTCATGTAGTAAAACTACTACTTGATATTCTTGACATGTGAAAATTTATCATCCTGATATAGTAATTAATCGATATAGCTTAAATATTTTTCTGTTCGTCCACGCCAGCTTTCTATAAAAGTTTGGCATAAAAGTTATTATATTATATTTATATATATATATATATATATATAAGGGTATAATTTATTAATATCTTAAAAGTTGATTAATATACTTTATTTATTAAAAGTTGATTAATATACTTTAGTAAATAGTTTGTAAACAACATTGTTACGTGAATAGTTTGAAAATTTAGCAGGCCTGTTATTGAATGTGCACAAAATATTTGCTGCACCATCTTTATTTTTGTTATTTATTCTTCATACACAATATTTTTCTATGTGGCATATGTTACATTACATTTTGTTTGATAACGTTGTTCATGGTTTTTGGTTAGGTTTGTTTGCTCCAAAGCAAAGCATCGACCTGATTTAAATTTGTTTAACGAACGTACGAGAGAAATATGCAAAAGTCCTCGTTTGCAATTACAATTACACGCGTATTCGGAGTTTTTAATGGAATGCTTAACAATCATTTCGTAACGAGGACCAAATATTCCGCTAATAACTGCCGCGTTTTATCCGAATCACTTTTTCGCGATATAAAAAAAATACGAAGACAAATTTCAAAATACTTTTGCATTTTAAAACACATTTGTTAAGAATATTTTAAAACGTGAAACGTGTGTGTGTTTCGAAAATCAAAAGTGATTTCAGTTAAAATATTTTAATATTAATTTTTTTTCTTTCATTGAAATAAATGCAGTATTTTTAAACGTGTCAATGTGCATTGATGAGTGCACATTGACCGAAAGTCGCTCGAATTATAAAAGCAAAATCGTAAATAAATTGGTAATAAAATAACGTTTGAAATGTTATTGATGAAAAAAATTTGCGTCTAAATTTAATAAATGAAATTCAAATTTTATTTTCAATATTTTCTTTCAGAAAGTTTTTTTTAAATTTAGTGTCGGAGAGAAAATGGCATTAATTTTCCGTAAACCTAACCGCGAACTTGGAACAATACGACTTATTGTCGTATCTAAATGGAGATCAATATTACGCCGTGTTCATCTCAGCACAGTTTCTCTAACGATGATAAACTTTCGCGCATCCGCGTAGTTTATGATGAGAGTGAGTGTGATTACGAGAAGTAGGAAAATATATCTTTCGCGCGAACACTTCAAATGCATCTTCTTTGTAACGATCTATATAATTACGACGCGCGTGTGGAAAATAACGTCCGCGAAAGCGCGCAACTCGCTCTTTGTACAGCTACTGGTAATGGAGAAAGCGTCTCTTAAAAATTAACGAGATATCGAGTCCATTTGGGGACCGAGAAATCAGAGAAACTTCACGTACAGTAAATTGTATTAACAGCATCTGCTGCGACTTCCTTTACCGTTTCCAAATTGCGTATTCTCGTCTCATTATTTCGTGTGTGTCTCTTATTCTCAATAATTCCCGCTCTCTCGTTTTGCAATGGCACAGAAGCGAAGTGCACATGTGTCAATTAATTGACACCTTTAACGCGGAATAGCGGAAGTGATGTTACTCTGGTTTAAACACAGTTTTTTTTTTTTTACAAAAGTTATTTTCTTCTCTTCCGCGCGTGCAGATATGCGCGGCGTTTCGATTAGAATTTAAAGTTTTGAGATTGGAAATTTTCGAGATGAAGCGTAACACGTTGTTTTTCACAATATTTGAAACAAAATATTCCGCGCGTCGCGCGCCCGTCATATCTTTGCCGTACCGAATAACACGCACGGGAGTTGATAAAAATTTACGCTTACCGTCGAAGTGCGGGTTCGTGTTACAGCCGTATGACGTATAATAAAAATATTTGATAGATGCATTTTCTGACAGAGACAAAATCTCCGGGATTATTCGTATCCATAGCGCAAATTAACTGAAATACGAATAATAGATCTTTCTCCGTCGTGCGTTGGGAGAAAAAGAAAAACAAGAATAACGAACGAAACAAATGAAATAAAAACAAAAAAGTATGTGCAAAACAACGTATTTTCGTAAAAATTCAAAAAAACGTCTGTCAACATCTTTATCGCATATACAAATAGAAAATAATATATAAAATTATAAACAATCGCGTGACCAGACAGTCCAGCTCTTTTGTAAGTTCTCTAAACCGGACAAAATGTATGTTCGTAGATTCGCGGTATATTTGAGGGTATCAGGCATTCGGGATTAACCTCGACAGAATCGAAAAGGGAGGCTGACGTTGTTAGGCGTTCGGTTGGCGGTTTTGCGGCCGGAAGAGAGCGAGAAAAGCGTGTGCTCTACGATGGTAATCATGATGGTTGATGAGAATTTGACGCTATATATATGTATGTACGCGGAACCACAGCCACTATCTACTCCGCGCCAAATTGAGGTAACTCAGGGACGCGGTTAGTTACCATACGCGTTCGTCCATAAACCTAGCCCGGGTAGGTTTGGACGTGGAGGAGTGCACGCCTCTCTCTCCTCATCCCTCCCGCCTCGATTAAATCGGTCGGATCTTTTTCCGCTGTGTGATTGCGCGCGTAATCCCTGCGGGCAAACGATACTCTTATATACGGAAACTGCGAATTGAAGCTCTCCGCAGAAATACGTCGCGACGAGGAAAAATATTCCGACGATAAAGCTCGAAATTTTTGCGCAGAGGACGTGTGCGTAGCGATAACGACCTTTCATGTAGGGTAATTATTGCAATACGAACAGATGATTTAATTATCTATTTATTAGAGAGAAAGAGACATATGAAAGATATGTTATACATATATGTAGCGCATACAGTATGCGTATATATATGTGGATTGTCAAATAACGGTAATTAGGTTGCCGCACGAGTTTAATCGGTAATTATTAATTAATTGAGGTATTGTTTATTAAATTAACACGTATTTCATTGTCCAAACATATTAAATTTTAGAATAGATATGAATATAATGAGATATGTCATTCTTTTATATATTTCGAGTTTCTGATTGTCATGTTTTTTCGTTAAAATTGTTTAAAAAAAAAAAAAACAGTTTTTTCTATCTGCTAGTTTATTTAAGAGACACTTATATATTACTTTTATTCTTTATTCTCTCTCTCTCTCTATCTCTCTTTCTCTTTGTTTCTCTTTCCTGCAGAATAAATTTGATCGAGACAAAGCATTTTATCGCATCATCAATAATTCGCTGAAACGCGATGAAAAATAAAGCCCGAGCACGAAATACGATACCTGTTCGCGTTTAATATCAAAACGGCATGACCGGTGTTAAGTAGCAAATATGCAGTTGTTTAATTTCAATTTGAATCGTCAATCAAGTATACAATAATCATTTATGTTTGTCACGATG